CCCCAAAACCCCAAAACCCCAAAACCCCAAAACCCCAAAACCCCAAAACCCCAAGATGCTTGTTAAGAATTGAACCCATAAAATTCGAAAATATCTTTAGCCTTCTCAACTATGATTTGGACTGCTTTCTTCATGGCGTCAAACCCGACGTTGTTACCAATCTTTTCTATGCCCATGACTTCACCTTTGCTGTTAATAGCGACTAAGAGAGAGGTATCCACACAAAGTGATTCTTCTTTAGTCGGGTCAAAAATGATGTTATCTCCTCAGATTCCGACCTGGATGAGCAAGCAAGAGTCAGAGGTGCTTACTAAAGATTAAAAAGGGATTTACCGCTTTCAAGAGTGTCAGTGCCTTCCTCATCAATAATGTTCTCACGTAAGTCAACCTCAACGTTGTTTGTCACTTGATCCTGAGTGACTATCACTTGTGGGAACCTTAAGTTCTGGAACGCAGCTAAAACTGCTATAGAGATGGGCTGGAGCTGGTTTAATGAGAGCTCACCTAAGAAGTTTATTGAAATGATTACCTGGCAAGTGAACATCAACGTTGAGTAACCATGAAGTGCTCTGATCAAGATAAAGCTCACTACGATCAATAACTTCTCCCATGTACTTGTCTAAGAAGGAGTTTAATAAATTTTTGGTCTTCTCAGCTGCTCTGATTTTTGTGAACAAAGAGCTCCCTGTCTGGATAGATTCCACATAATATTTGATTAAACCCTACAAATTTTAAGAAAACAATACTTTATCTTCATCTTTAGCATCGGATTTTTGTGAAATATGAAATGCAAATACTGGAGAGCCATTCTCTCCAATCTGAGTCTTTGCTAGAGAAATAGTGTAAGATTTGTAATTGATAAACCTTGATCAAAAAGTAGGATAATGGAATAGGCTATCATTTAGTAAGCCATCTACTCAAAAATGCAAATTTACCTTTAATAGACACAGTGATCTCCTGATCATCATCTCCATAAAGTATTGTAGCGCTACCCCAAGCAGCTGGGATGCTGCCGTGCTTTATTTTGATCGGCCTGAGTTGGGTATTTTCTCTTCCATCAACCCTGAAGCCATTCTTGAAGCTCTCTTGGTAAAATAAAATCTCGCTGTCTGAAAGTTCCATAAACACTATAATAATTATACTTTAAGGGGTTTTGGGGTTTTGGGGTTTTGGGGTTTTGGGGTTTTGGGGTTTTGGGG